GCCCGTTATCAAAGGCAAGATGTTTGTGTGTGTGTTTTATATATAAATATATATTTGTAAGTATACACGCGTGTGAATATGTATGTATATGTATTTATGTATACACAGATATCCATATATACATATATGGATACACACATTCATATATGTGCACATACATATAATATACACACAGATATCCATATTTTATATATATGCACATAGATTTTCTTGACTGTTTATTTTCATAAACAGTCTTTAAGCTTGCCCTCCCTTTTTCATTCTCTTACTCATATTGGCAAGAAACATGTGTCTGTGTCCATTATGTCTGTACATAGAGGGAAGGAGGAAAGTGTGTGTGTATATACATATGTATATTTTAAAAAAAAAAAAAAAAAAATCTATTTTTTTACACAGTCTCAGCTGACTAATCCATTGGCTTCTACTCCATACAGAAGCACTTATCTATCAGCAGGTCCCCTTTCATGTATCCTGCATAAATGCTACAGCCATCCATTACCACATGACTAGGTCAGCAGCGTTTAGCTCTTCTCTCCCCATGAACAGATGCTAAATGCCTTGCAGTAAAGTGGAACAATGCTGAAGGTACTATGCGGACTGCTTGCAGCCGCCCACTTTCTAACAAATATCTGAATGGAGCCTCCTCCTCCATCAAGGTTTTCAATAAGCGCAGTTCTATGGAGTGCTGGTAATTTAATATGAGCTATAGCTTCAGAGCACGGATGCCAGGTATCCTACGACAAACACAGCCCAGTTTGACCTTATTTCACTAAGTAAAATTGTAAATGTTCCTTCAGAGTGCTCTTGCCCAGACAGGCAGCAAGCATAACCATTTTACACACATCCATGTGATGCTTTAAGTGCTCCTCCCAAATCCCCAATCTCTCCTTTACGACCCCAAAAGCAGCCTTGGGAGAAGCAGCACCTCCTGTACAAAGAAAGAATACCACACAGGGTGGCTCACGTGAAACAAAAGTAGCTGCAAGATGGAAGAGTGGATGAAAGCACCCAAGCGAGGATTGTAGCATATGCTACGACGACACATAAAACACTTTTTAAAAAAAAAAATCCTATCACCTAGTTGCATACTACAAACTTACTCTCTGCTTGTTAAAAGTGTTTCAGTAAGAAAAATAAATTACTTTAAAAATGATGATGGGACTGAATTTCAGACAACGGGGAAATTCAGTCTATTAATCATTGAGTTAATCTATTTATTCACCTTGAAAAAACCCTGATCAGGAGAAAGTCTATTAAAAGAATACAGGGATTCAGCTGCCACCTTCCTCACTGAGTAAGCAATCAGAAGATACCCCTTTGAACCCCACGTTAATAAAATTCTCATTAAATGCAAACCTGCACAATGTTATCTTAAAGAGGCTCATTAGCTTAAAAAAAATTACTTGTCTCAAAATGTGCTTATTTCCTCATAGGTGAGAAGGTGAGTTTTCAAACCACTAACTGCTGCAGCTTCTTATTTCAACCCCATCAGTGCTGCAGCTATATCCTGCAGTCCATCATGTCTCAATTATTTATGTAAACCACAGAGACAAATCCACAGATAGAAGTTATAATCACTATTATGGGATAGGACAGCAGTAAGTATCACTCATTCCAGTACGGTATGTAAGATTTCAGCCAGATAAGGCTATTATTATTCTGTCTTCTTCAAATTTTCATTTTCTTTAGGTTGGACAGAAATTATGAATCATCTGTAAAAGGGAGAGGTATGGAAAGAAGGTAGGAATAGCCTTCCTGTCTCTCAATACTCAAAAAGAACATTCGTGACTGCTCTTTTCACTGGAGTAAGGACTAGAAAAATCAGATAATCAGCAACAACAAAACCCAATCAAACTGCCTAGTGCAGAATAGGGTCCAACTAAAAAGTACAGTTAATACCATAATAGGATACACAAAGTGGGATCTCTCTGCGGCTGAGTTTAAACAAGAACATGCCAAAGATTCTCTAGGTATTACTCATCCTGACTCTGTATTAAAGCAATTAATCAGATGACCTCGCCAATCCAGCACTGTGGGGTACAAGCAGGACTGTTTTATGTGTCTCCCCAACAGTTACTCCTGTAGCACAAATGCATTGCACCGCTGAAAAGTTGTAAACAGCTCACCACTCCTCTCCTGGAAGAAATGCACATAAAATTGTACACTAGGATTTAAGACACTTGTTAAAACCCACAACATGCATGCACATACAGATGTTTTTACATTTGTAATCTTTCCTACCAAAAGCCTTAGGATAAGGAAATGACAATTTTTATTTATTTACTTTTAAATAGCTGTTGTAATGAGATTAATATATAAACCAAAGAGTGACTTTGCACTGCACTGTTACAGCAAAAAGCAGGTAATCATTGCCCATAAAAACTTTCCAGAATGATGGAACAAGCTGAGGGAAAAATCCAATGTGAGGTGGATTTCTCTAAACTCATTCCCTTCATGGCAAAGGCATCCAAATAAGAAACTGTACGCTAAGACCACTCTAAGGGGAAACCAAAGGGGCACAAACGAACAGGCAATCCAGACAATGGGGAGCTAAGCCAGGTTCAAACCAGCATGTCCTTATCAATGCATAAGATAATTACATCTCCTGAAAATATTGTCATTCATTAACATACTCTGTTTCTCTAATAAAGCCATCAACCTGACAGCCTTAAAGGGTTTACTCTCCTCAAGCATCCCCGCTCCCTGTTTCTCTTTGGTGATTCCGGCTTGCAACATCTCCATGACTCTGCAACACAGAGCCACAAGTGTGTGTGCACAAGGCTCCAGTTTGCACTCCTGGTCCAACACCAGAAGAAAACATGTGGCCCTAGTATTAAGGGTCCTCCTGCAGACCTTGCTGCAGATGTGGGACAGCCAACAGACCAGGACAAAATGGTCTTTCCCAACAGACTGCAGAAAGCTTCAGACCTTAGAGGCATTCCTCAAAGAATTATCCTCTCATCCTTCTGCAACTTTCAAACACCTAAATTCAGTCTTTAGGCCAAAAAGGAGTATTACATTATCACAGGCCCTTCACTTCATCCATTCTCCCTGTACTGAGACAAGTCTCTTGAAACTTTCTAAAGCATGTTCTCTCAAAAAAAAGGCATCTAGTCCTAGTGACTGCTTTGACAGTGTGATGTTTCAGTCACCTTCACAAAAGCACGGTACCTTTGGATTTCTCCAGCTTCCAACAACTGGCTGCTCTGAAATCTATACAGTTAAAGAACCTTTCAGACGTAACATTTTTACCATGAGAAGAAAACAAACAAGTAGATGAAATACCCACCCCCTCCCTTTTTTTTTTTTTTTTTTTTTTTTTTTAACAAAAAAATATAAAACCCCCCCCCCCCCCTTTTTTTTTTTTTTTTTTTTTTTTTTAAATGGGAAATGGGATAAGTCAAACAGGCTAACTTCCCTGAAGTCTAATCCCTCTCCAGGCCTTGAATCATCTCTAATTTAGACCTTGTCTAATTTCACTGAGTGAAAAGCCACGAAAGTCATTCATGAAAACTTCTAACGCTAGTGAAAGACCACGTGAAATTTCAGCATACATGAGCAGTGAGGTGGAACAGGGAAAAGCTACCAAAAGTCTACAAGAGAAACATGTCAGAGGTTTCACTGGTTCCAGACAGCACCATGCACTGATCGTGTCTGATACAGGCTGTCCAGGGAGGGGTATCACAGTGCCAGTTTTTCGGTTGTATCTTGTCTCAGTTGTGTGCTGATCTTTACAAAAGCAGCTGTTAAGCCACCAGGAAATAAGCCAATGCAAAATCTTGGTTGCACAAACCAGAGGTGAGCACAAACCCTCTGCAACCACTTGCTTTTTTTAATCTCTTCTCGGTTTAGACTTCTCCCTCTGGGTATACAGAGAACTCCCAGAGCAGACACTTCGTGTCACATCAAATGACATTAATTTGCCAATAGCTATCTGTTCTGCTGCTTCACTCCGAGTGCATTATCTACCCACAAGCATTCATTTATGTCTGTTTACAAAAAATAAAAATAAGGATAGTAGAAAATAAATCATCTGGAACCATACATGATGTTATTAAACTTACAGATTTACTAAGGGAACCTTTAAGGTGGTTTATAGACACATAAGATGTATATTGACTTGAAAGATGCCTTCAGAGAGTTTGTCCTACACAATCTCTTTTGTAGTGAAGAAAATAAGAAGTATTAGCAATGCAGCAGGACTGAGCTACTTGGTGTTGCATTATGTCTGGGGTGACCAGGGAAGTAATGGACAGATATTTTTTCAGTATAAATACTTATATCTTTTATGGTTTGTTTACAAGCCAGAGATAAACAGTAAATTCTCTCTCTCAACATTCTTCCATTTTCCAATCAATCAGATCCATGAGCCTCTGGCTCAGTACTACCTGCTTCAGAAGCCAGGAAAAGAAATTACTGCTGTCATGAAGGAATACAGCACAAAAGCACCTTGAGATATTCCTTAGCCTTACAAGTAGAACATAACTTCTGCTCTTGAACAGGAGGAAGAGGTTTAAGAGAATGCTGAAATGTCCTTAAATAATGAGTTCTAAACACATAAAAATCTTGCAATGTTAAAAGAGGCCTTGAATCTGCTTATTACAGCTGCCTTACAGTCCCCTTTATAGCTTCACAGAATTGCAATAGAATCACGCAACAGAAATCCATTAGGTCCACAATTGTTCTGCCAGCACAGCATTGTTCCCTACTGTATAACTTCTCCCAAGAATGCTGTGAGGATTAATTCATTACAGCTTCTGCCATGCTTTGAAAGCACTCAGTCTACAGAAATGCCGAGAGGATTATTAGAAGGAGGACAGTCAAACCCTGGTGACCCTCTCTTTATCCCAGTGGGCCCTGTTTAGAGCAGCAATTTAGCCCAACAAAGAGAACAAATTCAAAACCAAATTCAACACAATAAATGTGAAAGTGTCATGATAAGAATGCAGTCACACGGGACACAAGAATCTCTAAAATGGTTACTAACTTCTACTCCTTACCTAATATTGACTAATGCATGGGTCACCTTGCTTGCAGGCTCTTTCCATTGACCAGCATTGGTAGAAAGCCTTAGAACTGAAAGGAAAAGACAGTTAACAGTGCTGGTACAGAACTGGCAATTTTCTAATCCAAACTGTAAAAAAAATCTGCTTTGGTGAGATGGTAATCCAGGAACCACATCAAAACAAAGGTAATCTTTGAGACAATCTGTGATCCAGGGCAGAAGTTCCTTCAAAGCCCATCTAAGAAACGTAAGGAACATGGAAGGGGTGAGCAGAACAAGATAATGACTGGGAGACAGGAAGCAGAGGGAATAGAAGAGCCTAGGTCCCTCCTAACTGCTTTCATCACCACACATTTCCCCCAGAAACAGGACAGCGTCCCGGGTCTATGATACTTTTTATTCCACTGTTCTCCTCCAGTTTCTATTTATGCAAGGTTCCGTTTGAGCTGGACTAAATCCTGTGATTTAAACCCAATCCAGCAGTGATGGATTCTTTACCTCCCTATTTATCTGGAATTGCAGAGAGGGACTACACACCAGCCTAGGGAAAAACACTCCCTGTAGGAATGAGGGTGTTGTTCTGTTGCACAGATGGTCTCTGACAGACTTGGGAGCAGATCTGAAAACATTCTGCAACAGGAAGAACTTCTAGGAAATCAAATTCTTTTCTGCTAGAGCACCCAAAATATTTATTTAGGTCAGAATCTGTAGTGTTTCTATGGTGGCAGTTACCTACACATCCCTTGGTAAGAAGCAAAACAATAACAGATCCTGTACCACATTTTTGGATTAATTTTCCATATTGCCTGAATAGAAGGGAATTTTCTATGAATTTGTATATACAGAGTTTTTTGGAGGTTACATTCTGCAAGAAAGGTTCACCTTCGACTTAGAAGTGAAGGAACAGCATGTCATCAGAATTTAGGATCATCTAGAAACACGGATGCTACACGTGAATCCATAAGCTGCATACTCATGCCTACTACTGCATGAGAGAAGCTTCCAGTCCTGCAGATATGGATAAAGTTCAGATTCAGGACAAGAAAAATAAATAAATAAAAATCAAGGCAACTAGATTCCAACTCCACTTCCAACGTAGAAGGTTTCAGCCACATTAACAGGAAAACTAAAGGATAAAGTAAGCTTTCTCATCTGCGCTAACAAATGTCCCAAGTCTAGGGGGCAGAAGGGTGACTGTGGTCCCAGTGAGATGGATTGACAAGCCAAGGGAAGCTGTCAGGACACCTGGCTAAACTGTGGCTTTCATCAACTTCAGACAGTGCTACCTTCTCACTTCCTAGTGCTACCATTACATGTCATCTGCAGAAAAAAAGGTGCCAGCTCTGAGTAACATTATTTTGTCAAACAGTAGGTACTGTATGAAAGAGTTTCCATTCAGGCATCTACAACATTAATTCAAAGGAGTTTGCTCTGTGTAGCAGGATGGAAAACATTCACGTGACAAATGAATTGTTTCAACAGGTCAGATGTGCCTATTGCAGCCCAACTGAGTAAGTACTTGAGTGCGTTATTCTTCCATTCCACTTCAGCTTCCACAGGGGACGGGTTTGAAAAATTACTGGCTAGTAAAAGCACCTCATCTTACTAGTTGCAATTCTTGGGAATAGGAAATGGGTTAGCAAAAAATCTTATGTGCTCAGAGGGCACAAAAATGGCCAAGTGATCCCTTATATAATGGCTGAAAACTGTAGGAAGTTTGTGCAAAAGGGCAGTTCATTTTTGCTTGCAATTGCAGGGAGTATTCGGCTACTTTTATTTAGGTGAGGACGGTTCTCTCCCATGTGAGAAGAGTGCTGTGGCCAACTGTCTCTCTCCCACTGCCCTTTAACTCCCCTTACATGCTTATATTAACTCCTGTTGTTCATTGGGTGATCACACTGAGAAGGGAGCAGAGGGTGAAGGGAAGAAAGGTCCTTCTAGAACAAAGCAAACAAAGAACACAGCTATATTCTTTTCTGCACAGCTTCAAGCATGCACATCCTACACCAGCGCTGCTGCGGCTACCCTTGGCTCCTGTGTATACACTGGCTGATTATGCCTCCATGCATTCCTTGCTCTCCTTTCTTCCTCTTTTCCCTGCTGGGTGTCACTTGGTGGCATTCCAGCATGCCCCTCTCTCTTTGAAGGATGGCAGCTTCTCCCTGTTTTGCCAGTTGGCACATTCTTCAGTCCAGTGATTTGCTTGTCATTGCAAGCAGGTTTGTGAGGGCTGTTTTCTTGGTTTGCTTTGGCAATGAGTGCAGTATATGTGATTTGTCTAGCACAGCAAGCTTCTTGTTGTAAGTTTCTCAAATTCTTTTCCAAATTCTTGTTTGCACTGAGTGTTCCTCTGTGCTGGCTGGTTCTGCAGCATGTACCTGTGCTCTGACTTAAAACTATCAAATGTGATAGATGCAAACTACACGAAGATGTATGAAATACCACATACCTAGTTGTGCCAACAAATTTATGTTTCCGACCACAGTAAGTGGCTGCTAGGGAGGCAGCGGGTCTGTTCCTATTTTTTTTCTGACTAAAAAAAATGTATCCCTTTAACAAGTTTATCCTTCTCTCAATTCTTAATTTACCAAACATGTCGTAGTACATAAAACATGTCCACTCACCAAGACACACATCAGCAGCAGGTGGGCAGAAAACACCTGACACAAACATCCCTCCACCACCACCCTCACTTCTGGTCAACAGTATTCCTGACCAGTCAAGGGGTACTCACCCATAGAATAAAGGTTGTCAAAATTCTGATGCATCCGAATGATTTCATAATACAGCTCATCATAGCTGCTAGGAGTGGGGAGAAAAGTGTCTCCGTAAGTGATGAACATGTTGAACAGGTTCACAACCTATACGAGGAAGTGAAAAGAAGTTACAACAGGAGTATTTACACAAAGTGTACTCTGCAACAGAAACAATACAAACTATGACCAAAACCTTCAAAGAAATCACTCTCAATTGCACTACACAGTATTACATTACTTCATTGCTTTATCTATTATTTTCCTTATAGTACAGAAGAGACAGGCAAGAAGCTTAAATAATATCATATCTGGGGCCAGGAAAACAGGTTTCTACTATTTTGAATACAAAGGGCCACGAAACAAGAAAAAGCATTACCAAATCTGGAAAATTAAACTAAGCCTTTCCTCACATACACTTATTTATTTCAATGAGCAGACCCTACAAGTGAGTCCCAGCACTGCCCTTTCCAAACATCTAGCAAAACCAACCATAATGATATTCCTCAACTTTGTGGCCTTGTTCTGGTATCTCCTTACCAGGCTAGAAATCCTGGATTCTTTCCTAAGATTCATTCAAGATTAATTAAGTTGTTTAAAATAAGAGGATTTGCTTTGTCTGTACTCACCATAAGAGCAAGGGTGAAGATGTTGTGCTTGGCCAGTAACACAGTCTCATTAGACATGAGGAACTTCAACAAGTTGATCAAAGCTAGGAGAAAATAATATGTATTTTTTAAATAAAATTAAAAGCAAAGCCATTCTCAACAAGTCACTTAAATACAGATGCATTTTCATTATCTAGTATAAACTAACCTAAATGCCAGACGCTCATCTCTCAGAAATACATCAGTTTACATGTGGGTTTCTTTTTTTTTTTTTTTGTGGCTAAAATACTGTGCTGGACAGGTAAGTGACAGCTATTTTACTGTCACACATTTACTCTCCTTCACTGACTTCCCAATCAAATCTGCTCAGGCTCAAGGCAAGTCTCTTGTTAGCTTAGTCAGTTCACAGGAAATTCTTCTATCTGCCAGATCCTGAAGTGAGCCTAGGGGTTGGAGAATCCCACTGTCTTGTTCCTGCTTCATACATCACCAACATGATGTATGTGTAGTCAGCCCCAAACTGTCACTCTTGTTGATATATGCAGTTAAAAAAAGAAATAACAAAAAATAACAAAAAAACATGACATAGTTTTTCTGTAGCTCTATGTCAATGCTACTGCAATGGTACAAGGAAGGACATAGTACTTTATTGTGTCAGTTATCTAGGGCTGTGCGGTAAAGACTACAGATCTGGTTCACACTTGTCTTAAGAAAACAACAAAAGCTTCTGCTGTAACCACCCAAAATCAGTTAGTGATATTAGGAATTAACAAAAAGGTTGGCTAAAAGAGCTTTAATCAAACAGACTTTACAATAAAAAATTGTATTCCATACACTTGAATAAAATGAGAAGTTCTTTATCTTCTTCTTTCTAGTTCTTGAAAATTTCAAAAAAGAAAGCTGTTTTCTTCTGCATTATAGCTGCTCAGGGCTGAAAACTGATGCCTGCCTAGAATAGATTCTTAATGTATTCTCTGCTCTGAAGTCAGCAGATTTCAAGACTTAAAACATCTGAATTAGATGGCCTGCAAAGTCAAGCTGGAATGCTATACAGACTTTTGAAAAAAGGTTCTTAATTACCTACTAATTTGTAACTGCATATAGGTTATAGGTTCACCTAGAATTTATTAACTTGTTCTTCCTCCTGTTACACACTACCCAGTAACCTGCAAGAAAACCAACTCCAGTTTGGGAGAACCCCATAGCAAATACAGAACAGACCATTCGTCTCTGCCCAAAGGTACAGACTATGAAATAGGAGTAGATAAAACACAGGGAACAGGAATGAAGTAAGAGCAAAATTTAGACACTCTTCCTCTCCCCCTCTTCAGGATTATAGAGTATTCAGAAAAGGTAAAACCAAAAAACCTATGGTAAAAAAACAGATGTGAAGAGACTAGTAAGATCTGGAATTAAACAAAATTGTCAGATTCTGAATACAGTCCTGTAACCATTACCTTCCGATACTGGAAGTTCATTGGGAGGATCAAAAGTTTCTATATGCCCCCCAAAAGGGAAGCCTACAATCCTAGTGAGGGTATTTATTCATCACAGACAGAAGCTACTTCAGTTTAATCTACCAGCTGGTGGCTTGATGCTGAACTGCAAACCAGAACAAAGAAAGTTCTCTGCAAATTTCAGACATTCAAGTGATTTATCAATCAGCAGCAGCACCTCTCCCTTCCATGACAGCAGCCCACCTCACGAAGCAGATATACCTTTTCAATGCAGCCACAGAACTCCCCATACCATCATCACCTCATCATCAGACTCAAACATCTGGGACCAAAAGCAGAGCTTGGATTCCACAATAATCCAGCTCTGGAAATACTCCTGACAGATATTTTTCTGTAAAACAGCTGTTTCAAAACAAAGAAGTAGCAGGTACAGATGGGCTCTCCACCTGAGCAGATATCCAGCTAAAAACAGGTTTCCAAGGTAACTGAGCCTCCACAGCAAAAAAGTAGAGCCTACCGCAATCAGTGGCTTGGACTGAAGACAGCTGCCCTGCATCTCTGTCACAGCAGCTTATTGGCCATCTCTCTATTTAATAGATATAAGCATGGGTTTACCTCTTTCCCGGCCACACGAGTCCACATAGCCACATCTCGTGACCAGGCGCTGCTGGTCTTCAACTGCAAGATCTTCAACTACTAGCAGTTGGGGCTTCCGAAAGCAGAGTAGCAGAGCTCTGGATTTTCTATAAAAAGTGGTGTGAAGCCTCTTGTTCATCCCACTGCCTCTCATTTTCCCCACCAGAACCCTACTGAAAGGCCCTTGGCAGAGGGTGGTTGCAGAGCATGACGAGAAGCCACTGAACATCCAAACGTAGTGAACACGAAAGCTGCCCGTGGTGGGGAGACACTATTTTTTAAAGAATGAGCATGACCATCATTGTCTAGAGCACGAGCACTCACCGACTGACAGGGGCAAGTACCCTACAATTGCCCACTGCAGTATTTCTCAGGTACCTCCCTGAAACACTTGCACTGCTCTATATGGGTGACAACACTTGAAGCAGAACTGTTGCTCTGTTCTACCCCAACAACAGCTCCTACGTTTGTTCCAGCCATTGTGATGAGTTTGCTCATGTTTAATTTTCCTGTTCCAGTTAGAAAGAAGACAAGAGATTACCGCTGCTTGAAATCAATCTTTATACCTGAATTGCACTGCATCATAGCCCACTCACAGCCGATCTATGCTGTTCCTTCCCTAAGAACTAGGAAGGAAAGGGACGTGCTTCACATGAAGAAGAAACTCAGTGCTGGGCTCAGAGCTGGTCAGAAGAGCTAATCCACCAGGTTTGCAGTCACTGTGTGCACTGCACAGACAAATTTATCCAACTGTTTGGAAACCACACATTTCTAAAAAAGTTGCAGTGCTCCTAAATAGGATATACACTACATCGATGCTCAAAGAGCAACCCATCTTTTTCCACACCAGCACATTCCGCACCAGCTTCTGCTCAAGTGGCTCTAAGGAACACTGTGGAAAACAAGCCTTTAAATCTATGGCTACCTGTGTCTCCGTAGTTTGCTACGGAGCGGGCAGACCCCGCACTGAAAATGAGGACAGCTATGCCCTGGAGTTTTCAGGATTAAAAACTTTTAGATCCAGCTTCGTTGCCCAGTGCCCTTCAGTGACAATTACACACACAAAATAAACCCACACAAAATCAAGGTCCAACTGGCTGAACACCCTCCACCCCTCAGCTCCAACGGGGCTCTGCTGCTGCTACTCCTGAGCAACCTGAAGCCATATGATTGGCTGAAGGTTAAAGTGGTGTAAAGCATCCAGATTGGTTTTTAGGCAATTTTCTCCCAAGGATTATTATAGCCAAAGGATGAAAAGTGACATCACCAGCTTTTACAGATACCCTCCCTGCTTTTTAAACTGAAATGACTGCAGTGAAAGAGGTTCTTAGCTCTGTCGCCGCACAGCTGCTTTTGAGGACGGACACTTTCCGTTATCCGCTCTTGTGGCCAGCCTGTCTATTGAGGAGCAACAGTACTCCTGCTCAGTTATTTCCTGCCCTTCTTCAAGCCAGTCCTCTATAAGGAGGCTGTGAGCAGCCAGCATCTCTTCTTCTCTTCTACCAGGAAGGAGGTAATTCCTGTGTTCTGGACAGATGCCCTTCACTCCCTCCTTCCCCCATTCCTTCGCCCATAGCAAACTTACCTTCTCTCCCTCTAAGCCTTGTTTCAAACAGGAGTAAATTCAGCCTCAGCACATTTGGGATTCACACAAAGTTTTTGTTCTATTTAGTGTCTCCTGTTGGGAGTTTATCCACTGTTTGGATCATGTGTAATGCAATAGGAGCGTGGGGGTAGGTTAAGTGGAGAAAAGGGAAAAAAAGCAGAAGTACTACCGTCCCTTGGGTAAGTCAGAATGTAGCACAGACTCCGCCAAGAGCATCGGAAGGCTCTGACGTGTTACTGCACAATAGAGCAGAAGAGAACAGCCCTGAGACACACATCAATGAGAGCTTGGATGGGTTGAGCACAGTATGGAGGCCTCTGTCACCGCATCCACTGCGCTCCCAGGTCAAAAATCTTCTAATGGTGCATATAATGGCCCTCAACAAAGAAGCAAGGGAGAAAGAGAGATGTGAGGGCTCCTCAGAAGCTTCAGTGTAACATCAATTAACAGGCTCCTGTAGTCTATTAAAATCCTCCAATTTTCTACCCTCCAACTCTCTGGATACACTGGGAAGAACAGTGATTTTCCCATTCCCTCTGGAAGCTACCATTGTATCAACAGTATATTCAGTATCCTGCTTTCAGTGTTTCAACTTACAACCCCCTTAGGATGATCCCCAACCCACATGTCACTACAGGGCAGCTGCTAATGACATCTGGGCAATACTTCCTTGCTGCAGAGAAATTCTCTTGCCTCTGAGTGCTTCAGCAGCACAGTAACCATCCTGGACCTCTTACAGCCAGCCTGTTCACATATACATACTCTCAAGGCATGGTCGATACCACTCGTAGTACATGATGAGCCAGATCTGGTAAGGATTAGTGCACTAGACTGGAACTAAGAAGAAACTGGATTAAATTCCTTAGGAAGCAGCACTTTGTGTGCTTTCAACTCCTCTTTCTGTGCTTCAATTCCTCCAATATAAAAGAGAAAACAGAACCATTCTGTCTGAAACAGCACTGGAAGCATAAATCAAGCAATGAGAACAGCCTTGGCTGTACCTGGTCAGACCAAAGGCCCACCGATGCTCAGTATTCTGTCTCTAACTGGTCAACATCAAATGCCTGTTGAAAAATAATAGGCCAAACAACGCTTTCTCATAACAGTCTTCCAGATTCCAAAATTCAGCATGATCCCCTTACACGAGGGAAACTACAGCAGAGACTGTGGAAATAACAAGACTCTCACAACACGACAATACCATAACCGCAGACCAGTCCACTCTCCTATTCCAGATTGGAAGTCACAAGGGCTAAGCTAGGATAACCATATATCCCACTGTGCTGTTGTGGGGAGGAGGAGAGACCCCAGAACAGGGTAATCACCTGTAATAAATGCTATACCTGAAGAGAAATTCAGAAGTAGGGAAGCAAAAGGCTCAAATACGATACATGGAGATGACCTG